TTCCTTTAAACTACCCAATCCACAACCCCCATGGAAGGCCTAAAGGAGAAGGCCCATGGAACTTAATCAAGGCATGATCTCCCCGTCACCCACCCACCCCAGCCCCCTCCACCCCACCCCCACACCCCCGGCCACCACCACCTACAACACACATTCCCCAACAAGTGGCTGAGCTTCCTGTTGCCTCTGGACTTCCTATCAGCCTCCATTGGCACCCCACCCTCTCTGGGACCTGTAAGTAATAAATTTCTTCTCTTTCCTATATTGTGGTTTCATTTCCTCATTGTGTCCCACCTGACACACACCCAAAACCTAACTCTTTATTCACTGGGGCTCCTCAAGAGAGTGGCTATCTTGACTATGGTTGTTCTTAAGAGACAGGACCTCATGATACAAATCACAATACAAATCACAAGATCCAGTGAGACCAAAATGTCCTATGCTGCAGGCTCTGGGCTACATCTCCCTGGGGCCTGGCTAGTAGGTGACATCACTTTGGGCCATTTGGCCTTCCTAGAGCCTTTGCTGCCATTGATCCACCCCAGAATGCAAACACTTTTGCTGCTGGAACTGGAATTGTGGTGGTGGAGGAGAGAAGTCCCCAATCCCTAAAGGCAGGACTGGGAACCTGAGAATCTAGGGGTGGATAAACTCCAGGTTCCAGGCATTCCCAAGATATGGAATGGCTGGAATATGATGGAATGTGAATCCCACCCCTCCCCCCCCTTTTTTGGCCTTCACAAGCAATGCCTGGGGCTCCTGGGCAGGGTGAGCAGGGCCAGTGCAGATGCAGAGAGGATTATGGAGAAGCAGAGAAAAGCAGGGGCCTGAGCATTGCTTCTTCTCCAGAGCTCAGTCAGGGTCTAATGCAGTGGAGGTGTGAATAGTGTTGGTCAAATAGACTGAATAAGAGCAATGTAGAAGGAGATCCAGTCACAGAGATGGGGACATACAGAGACAGAAAAATCAAGAAATGAAAAGAAGTGCAGACCCTCCCAGTGAGACTTGGGAAGCTGAAACAGGAGGAGAGTGAGTTCAAAGCCAGCCTCAGCAATGGTGAGGTGCTAAGCAATTCAGTGAGACCCTGTCTCTAAATAAAATACAAAAAATAGTGGTGGGATATGGTTCAGTGGCCCCTGAGTACAACCCCTAGTACAAAAGAAGAAGAAGAAGAAGAAGAAGAAGAAGAAGAAGAAGAAGAAGAAGAAGAAGAAGAAGAAGAAGAGGTGCATACTCTAGAGAGAGAGTAGAAATGAAGAAGGGAGAGAGTGGAGAAAAGTAAAACATCAGAGATGCAGGAGAGATGGAGGAGAGACATAACTTTCTCCAAGTCCCAGAATAGCAGCTGCTGGTGCCTGCAGCCTGCCCTGAGATGGCCCTTTAATTGGGCTGAATTCAGCATTCTCAGAGTCTAGCACGTCGATGTCGCTGAGGACAGTATGTGCTGGTCCAAGGTTGTCAGAAAAGACCCAGCTGGAGTAGAATGCACACCAGGTGTGTGGCTTCCTGCCCCAGGCTCTGCCTGCCCCCTCCAGCTCCTGCCTTGCATGCCTAGTCTAGGAACAGGCACTGAGAAAGTGCCACCAGCCCTGGGGAGGTCAGGGGCACTTCTGCTTCCCCAGGAAGGAGGGAAAAGGATTCAGGAAAGTATGGCTGAGGGAGCAGTGAGATGGTAGAGAGAGCAGATGAGTACTGCATTTGGGGAAGACAGCTGGATATTTTGAGCTCTATTTTAGGGAGAAGTTATACTTTCTCCAAACTCTCTAATAGGCTGATCATCTACTCCCATCCTCTCTCCCAGATGCCAGCACCCAGTGGTATTCCAAGCAGCTGTAATTGCAGGCATCACCTCCTTTCCAACCATTCACCCACAGTTTAGAAAAAAGAGCCAGTCCTAGTGTCCTAAGGGGGGAAGAGAGTCTGCGCTAACCTGATATAAAAGGTGATCTGACTGGGCTCCATGCTCCTTAGGGTAAAGTGAAAACACCTGTCATTCCTTGCGCCATTAGGAATCTTGGTGAAATTCCAAGAATTTTCCAACAGCATAAAAAACAAGACTATCATACAGGGAGGCTTAAGCAGAATGAATACTAAACCACCTCCCTGATCATCCCATGGGACATTCTAAACTTTTCTTTATAAACTTGTACCACATCTGTGCTTATGATTCTCAATACTAGGTCAATTTAAAAATATTAATTGGCAATCAGAAAGTACCTCCAGAATTAAAAAAATGGAAGGGAGTGAATATTGGTTGAGAATATATTTATATGCCAGGCACTGTGCTTTTTAAACATTTTCACTTGTTTGTATCATTTAGGCTCCCAGTGGGCCTTTGATGTTTTTATAATCATTAATGCCTTCAGATCTGAGAATGTGGCTTGGCAAGATTAGGTAACTTGCCCAAGTTCACCTAGCTAATTTGAGGCCCAAACCCTGATCTGCTTGCCTTCAAAGTTCATTTCACTTTCTCTGGGAACCTCAAAAAAGATCTGAGGCATGGCTGAGTGCTGTTACAGAAAGTGGGGTGGCCACAGTCTTCCAGGAGACATGGGGGAATTGATATGCAAGGCAGCACTCCTCTGCATTGGTGGGCCTGGGCCTTCAAAGCCAGATGGTAGACAGAGGCATTAGCAAGAAACCTAATCCCACAGGGTCAGCATTTTAGAGATGTCACAGGATGGGCTTACCTGGTAGCAGACGCTAAGATGATTAGTATGCAAAGAATATATTCAAGTGTGGTCTCAGGACCAATGCCTTTATAAGGGGGAAGGAAGTAGGATTGTGCAGAGGGGGAAGCCAGGCAGCAATGCAGTCTTAATGGGGACTGCAGCTGATTCTACAGGAGCTCTGAGACCAGAATGACCCCTCAGAGTTGTCCCATGTTTGGGAGAGCCAAAGCCAACCATCATTGGCCAGCCAGTGGGTGTGGAGTACCCCGGGAAGGGGGTGTTACCTCAGGCAAGGATGTTTTCTTCAGCTGAGACAAACCCAGAGGGGCTGACAGATGAGAGCTGTCAAACAACCACTTTCCCAGCAGCTGGGAGAATAAGTTCTTTAGTCCTTAAGGGACAAACAGGGTGGTGTTGCATAGCATTAGTGACAAGGTTTCTCAATGACACTGATGGGGGAAGTGGCTGGGGAAGGCGTTCCTTAGGCTTGGTGAAGTCAACTCCAGGATGCACAGAAACTTCTAGGGACAAAAAAGACAATGATGAAAGTTTCCAAGGGACAGGGTCTTACAGATTACGGGAGAAGAGGGAAAAGAGTGGCCTGGAGACTTCTGGGAGGTGGCTTGAAGTTTAAATATGCCCCTGCTGCTCCTTGTCTCAATGTTGTGAGACAGAAAAGATGCAAAGCTGAGAACAGTAACTCTCTTGTTAGTATGTCCTCCAGAAACACCCAGAGTGCCTATCCCTGTGTGGAGCTACACAGGTGGGAGAAAATAGAAAAAAAAAAAATGAAGGACAAGTTGGTCCTGCTCAAGGCATTCACATTCTGGCTGGGGGTGCAGCTTCATCTGTGGGAGCAGGCAGAGAAAAGCACACAATGTGCTTCTGTGCTGTCTCAGATGGTGCTGCCAGATCTTGGGGTAAATTAATTCAGAGGAAGCCAGCAAGGTGGGGAAGTCAAGGAGAGAGACTCAACAGAAGACTTAGGATGAGCCTTGAATAATGGAACACAGGAATATGCACTCTTCAAATGTCCTCTCACTTCTCTGTCCTGCAACCTTCTGGAAGGGTGGATGGGTCAGTTCACACAGGATTGGTCCATCTCCAGATTACTAGACAGCCTTCTCCATTACCTAGGAACCCCCTTCGTCTTCCCAGTGGTCTAGGACCTGTCCATGGTGCTGAATCTCAGTGTGCTTGTCCAAGCCTCAGCTTGGAAGGACCAAGTCTTCAGGGTTTATGTCTCCTTCTGTGACAAAGTAGTAAGATGGATGTCTTCACAGAGAGCTATGCATGGGGCTACAGACATCCCTAGGAGATCTCTCCCTGGACACACAGGCTTCAACTTGCCATTCCTGGAATGGCCTGACTGGGCAGAAGAGGACAAGATAGGAAGCAGAGCACAGGGATGGCCACTTCCTTGGTGACTGTAATCCCAGCTACTTGGGAGGCTGAGGCAGGAGGAATACAAGTTCAGATCATCCTGGGAAACTTAGCCAGACTCTGTTTCAAAATAAAATAAAAAGGGCTAGAGATGTAGTTCAGCAGCAGAGCACTTGACTAGCATGCACAAAGCCCTGGATTCAGTTCCCAGGGCAAAAAAGAAAGAAAAAAGTCTCTCCCTTGAGGAAGCTCCTTTTCACTGATGGATCCATTCCGTGCCTTGATTTTAGTGATGGTGATTGTAATACAGATTTATATAGGAATAAATATAAAACTAAACATACACACATACAAAAAAAGAATGCATGCAAAAAGTGGAGAAAGCTAGGTAAGGTCTGTAGACTACTTAATTGTACTGTAGTAATGTCAGCTTCTTAATTTTGATATGGTGTGGTTATCCTCACATTTCCCCCATACCATTGGTGGGGAGCCAGGTGATAGGTACTTGGCATGATTTTGTTATTTTTGCAACTTCTTAAAATTTAAAATTATTTAAAAATAACATTTTCCCAAAACACAGGATACCTGATGGCTGGGCCTGCTTGAAAACCTCAGCTCTTCCTCGCCCTTCTAGACCCTGGGGGCTCAGATTTAGATTTTTCTTCTCCAAGACCCTTCCTGGTTACCCGTGCCTACTCCTGAGTCCCTATAAGTATTATGCAATGGACACAGATAGGCCTCTGTCCTGTGTTACTTTGTGTTCTGTTTTGTGTCCATTCCACCCATGCAAAGGGCTCCCAAGAGTGGGGGGTTATATGTTCTGAATCTTTCACCTCCTTCTCAGCTCCTGAGGACACACAGCTGGTGCTCAGTTATTACTTGGTGATGGAATCTCCCTCATCACCCAGGTTTTCCCAAGCCATTAATTTCCTTATTCCTTCCCAGCTCCCAAGTCCAGCTCTATGGCAGCCTATCTCCAGCACGCATGTGAGGAAGTCAGAGAACACAGACTTGTAGCTACAAGACCTGCTGCATGGTGAACCACTTCCCATACATCTACATCACAGCAGTGCTTAACAGCACCATCTCTCATCTCCACACCCACCCTGAAAATGGGAGGCTGCACCCCATTTTACAGATGAAGACACACAGTAGGAAGAGGAGATAGTGACAATTGAAAACCAAGGGCTGCTCTGTCCAGCATCACCACATACAGATGTAAACTTGGATCTCAGTTGCTTAATCTCTCTGATTTTAAGATTCCTCATAGCTAAAGCAAAATAATATCTACCTCACAGCATAGGTCAAAGGCAAATGAAATCACCTTCAGAGAATTCATGAGTCTGTGGATTGCTGAAAGACAGGACCAGACCCGACTATGGTGGATGTTCACTGTGTGTTGGTCAAAGTAACCTGTGAATGGATTAGTAATTGAAATAATGAATAAATGCTTCTAAGCCCAGAGTAGGGGCTCTCTGGTTGTTCATTTCTTCCTAGTTTCCTGCCCTTGACTTCCTCTTCATTCCACCCCAGCCCTTTCTGGCACGAATCCTCGTCTAAACAGCGCCAGAAGGGAGGAGGAGCTGCCAGTCCCCTCTGGTTGCAAAGGAAGGTCAATGTGCCACCTGCAGTTTGGGGAATTTGGGCATAGGATGGAGGCATGCCCAGGCTGGGGTTCCTTCTGCCCTTGGACCCATCCTCAAGCCTGCAGCTGGGCTGGGGAAAGCTGTGCAAATTAGCAAATGAGGTACCCATAGATCCCTTTTCCATGGGACCAAAGAGAGAGAGCCAAAGGCTGGGCCTGCAGCCCCGATGTTTTCTCATAAAGTAACTTTGTGTGAAGGAGTCAGATAATCCTAGGAGGCTTGAAGGACACCCATCTTTGAGAAAGGATAAGGGGGGCTTTACAGCCCGTGCCTACTTGTCCTTCACAGAAAATCTTGGAATCTGTGCTTTTCAGAAATATGTCATCAGTGCAAACTCCCGAGAGCTGATTCCTCTCCAAGTAGACACAGATGAAAGTCTTGAACCCCTCAGCAGGTGTGGGTCCCACTATTTCCCTGGTGTGGTCATTCTCTGCTTACCCTAGTGGGAAGGGCAAGACAGATCATTCCAACATGTCTGAATACAGAAGTACCTGAAAGAGTCCTTGGCTCCCCTTGCATTTAGGAACCCCAGGGGTGACTAGCTCCTTGCTCTCTCTCCCCAGCCATCTAGAGCACCTCTATTTGAATTTTCTTGTGGTGTCACAGATGTTCAAACTGTCTCTGGGCTGTGTTTTCTCACCTTTCCAGCCCATTTGGGCTGAGTTTATGGCATTCAGAAACACTGTCCTGAGCTGTGCTTGGAGACAGGCTGTGACTTCTGCAGAGCCACTGTGAAGAACGCGTCTGCATTTTCTATGGGACTCAGGGAAGATGCTGCCTGTTGTACAGCTCAGTGTACCTTAAGTAATGGCTCCCATGATAAATTCCGCTTAGAATTTAATGCCAGGAAACATGTTTATATCTCTTGAAAAACTGGCCTTTTGTTCTGGCAGGGAGAACACTATATCCTTTTGGTTCTACTTTGGTCTGAGCTGCCAGGAACCTCAGAGCTAAATTTAATGATTAATTGCAACAACCTCGGTATTTTCAGTGTAGGATGTAGCTCTTGCTTCCTTTCCCATTCACCAGGCCTTCTCGAAGAGAAGACTGTGGATGCCTGGAACAGAATCAACTTGCTAAAATGCAGCTTACTGGTCCAATGTCAAACCTAATGGGTCAGAATCCTGGTGGGAGGTGGGGGCAGGGAGTCTTGTGCATCCTGAGATGGTTCTTGTGCAAACTGAGGTCTGAGATCCACTGCTATGGGTCATATTGATCTTTTTTCTCAAATGTCCTCCAGTGCAGGTATGCTTTCCTGTAAGTCAACAGCTATTTGGATGCAAGGATTGTTTTTTAAAAATGCATGCAATACATTTAATTTTGTTAAATGAAAAATAAAAGCAATAACATTAAACCTGTGCACAGAATGACTGAAACCCATCTTAAGGATTCATGATTGATAAAATTAAATTTAGAAGTAAGTTCTAAATTTAAAATACATCAGAGTCAACTGTAATGAAACTAAAAACATCTGTTATTAAAAAGTCAGATACTGGGGCTGGGTTTGTAGCTCAGCGGTAGAGTGCTCGCCTAGCACGGGCGAGTCCCTGGGTTTGATCCTCATCACCACATAAAAATAAATAAAATAAAGGTACTGTGTCCAATTACAACTAAAAAATTTTTTTAAAAAACTCAGTTACTGTAAAAATTACTTAGGGCTGGGTATTTATCTCAGTGGTGGAGCACTTGCTTACCATGTAGCACAAGGTCCTAGGTGTAATTAGCAGCACTGAAAAAAAATTTTTAAAAGGAGAGAAAATTATTTAATAGATCAAGATAACTATTCTCAAAAGTCATATAAAGGTGCATCATATTGTTAATGTTTTGCTCCTGATAGTGGTCCTAATTAGGTATAATTCCCATGTTATATATTTCTACAATAAGAAATAGGAGAATTTTGCATTATAAATAAATTTTGCAATGGAATACTATGCAGCTGTGGAAATGAATGAGGGAGCTTATTAAGAAATGAAAAGATCTCCAAGATATTTCATCAAGTGAAAAAAATAAAGGAGCAGGATAGCATGTGTAGAATGCTAATTTTTGTGAAAAATAGGGGGAGGTGTGAATATATATTTTGCTCACTTACATAGGTGTAAAGACACCCAGAAGGCTTCCTAATACACGAATAGCAGTTCATGTGAGGAGGAGTGAGAACTGGATGCATCTTAGATGGAGTGAAAGAGACTCTTTTACCATATGCATTGTATAGTGTTTCATTTTTGAACCCTGTGAATATATTTCACATGTGAATATATTTCAGATTCAAAAAATTAAATATATATATAATTAGAAGACACTCTACTCTTAACATAGGTAGCATATGTTAAGCATATGTTCATATAGCATAGTCATAACAATGTTAATTATTTTATTAATATAGGTTTTTGGAGCTCCTAAGCTTCTTCTCTGTTAATCCTTCCCTCACACCACTTTATCCCAGGACAGCCTCCTCTGAGGCCTCTGGAGCTCATGATTTGGAAAGAACCAGCTACAACTGCAGAAAAGAACAAAGAAGACCAAGGAAATTAAGAGAGCCATTACTTTCCCTTGATATTCAGTGCCCACATCAGTAGTGTTTCTCCATCGTTGCTACCTGCACTGTGATAGGCTCTGAGGCCCAGAAGATGCATGCGTTACATGTCATGCATTCATCTTCTGGGGCCACCATAACAGAAACCACAGACTAGGGGCTTAAACCAGAGAAAGTTATTTCTTCAAATTTCGGCTTAGGTGTGGATTAAAACAGTTTGTTGTAAAGTGTGATGGCAAAGTGAAAGGCAGGAAGAAGTCAGATGAGAAGGAAAAGGGAGAGGAAAGGAGGAAAGAGGGAGAGGAAGAAAATAAGAGAGCAGAGGAAAGGTTTTGGGGGGATCAGCAATAAAGCCTCAGCACCCCTCCCCACAAATTAGTGCTCCTGGGGGAATCCCTACATGATGAGGGGTGACTAGGAGCTTTATTTTCACGGTCCCAGCCTCAGTACTTGGCTCTGAATTCTGGAACACCCTCTCTTTTCCAGGTGTCACCCTAAACGAGCTGATGTATCTAGGATCCCTGGCTCCCCAGGTTTAAGTGGAAAGAAGGGACTGTGGACGTGACTCAGTGGTAGCATGTGCAAGGCCCTGGGTTTGTCCTCCAGCATTGCAATCAATCAAGTGGGGAGAAGTGATAGATTTCTTCCACAACTTCCTTTATAGAGAAGAAAAGGAAAGACTCAAGTGACTTCTCCAAGTTATACATACCTTGGACCTGAAGTTGCCATGTTCCCTCTGGTACCATTGTGGGTGAATGCTCATATGCCTGCGGGATCCAGGAGAAAATCAAGATGGGGGATTATCTTCCCATCATCATGCAGTTTATACTATGGAGTCCTTTCTCTCAGGTCAAGGACAAAGGCTTTCCCAAGATGAGAAGCTGACCCATGGGATGGGGGTGGGGTGGGTAATGGAGAAAACACTCCCCAAAGAGGGCTGTAGTTGGGCAAGTGGACACAAATATCTTGGGCCATTAGAAATGGCGAGTTAGGGAGACAGAGATATTTCAGAAAGACTGTTCCTACAAGGAAAGAAGAGTGGCATAAATTATGACTTAACACTTCTGATAAATCCTGATCTGATATTTCAGAGTTCTGGCTGCGGGCGTAAATGCTGGGCCTGTGACGGATGGATGGATGGTGTGCTTGAAATGATGGAGCATCTCTCCAATCTCCCGGATGATGCTGGCCTGTTTTATGCTCAGTATCCATAACAAGGACATGTCCTATGATGAAAGATAGTCCAGGGATGGCAGAATCGACCTGTCTCCATTACATCTTCCCTAGTGATGGGAGTGGGGAGGGCTGTGGGGTTGGCCTCAGAGCCAAAGGAGCTTACCAACCCACTCCTGGTGCACAGAGAGAGCACAGGCAACGGGCCTTCTTTCCCACACATACATCCTGCCACCTCTTGGCCATGGCAGAGGGGTGCAGAGTGACTTTGACTCACATCAGCACAGCAGAGGGGTATCATTTGTTTCAGTCTGGTTTCATTTCTTGTGGCCTGAGGAACCTGCTCCACAGATGAGTGAGGACTACAGTGGCCTGAGTCCTTCGCCATAGGGAGCTATGTCTGACCTTGTAGCGTAGGGAAGGTAAGTCATCTCTGGGCATGAGTTCTTCTCACAGAGAAACACTGGGCCCTTGCAGTGGCCTCAGATCTGTGGGTCCCTGACCTTAGTTCTGTCCTCATGTTCAGAAAAACTCTTTCTCAGTAGTCTTTACCACCTCTGCATTGAACTCACCCAGGATGCATTTGGCTCTTATAGTCTTCCAAGCCATTCTTTTTCAAGTTCAAGCCCTGCTTTCTCTAAGAAGTTCACACTGACCATTCCAGGTTGCACCAAATTTTTTCCTTCTCCCAACTCCTCTGCTCTCACCATGTGAACCACGCATTACCCTGAGTTACATATTTTTTAAAAATATTTATTTTTATGCGGTGCTGAGGATCAAACCCAGTGCCTCACACTTGCTAGGCAAGCACTTTGCCATTCAGCTACAGCCCCAGCCCCTTGAGATAAGTATTTTGCCCATGTCTGATGGTTTTGTAGGTTTCAATTCCCAACAAAACTATAAACTTAAAGTATCCTCTTGAGCTTCAAAGTGATCCCCTGCCCTGCCTGAGTCTCACATAGAGTAGATGCTCAATAAGTAGAAACTGAATGACTGCCTTAAATTGGAATATGAGTCTCTTTTTCCCTGCCAACCTGGGAACTCACCAAACACAAAGAAGCCACTTTCTCAGTCTGCCCCACTGGCCAGCACAGGGAACTGGCACAGGAT